CTAACCTGAGGTGTACAGCAGCTGAAGCACAGTAGAATGAACCCAGTAGCTGGGCTCAAAGTGACCAGCAGGCAGCAGCCAGAAGAGAAACTGAAAGTGCACACAGTTTGTAGTCCAAAGGAAGATCCAGAAATCATGGTTAAAGAGGTTGCAAAGGTGGAGCCAGAAATACGAAGGACAGACAAGCTGATGAAAGTCCAAGAACAAGATCAAGGGTACAAATGAAGATCAGTACACAAGTGGTAGAAGCAGGGAAATAAACTTAGGTTGCAAGCAAAGCTTGGGAGTGTTAAAGGAAAGGTGATGCAGTGTTAGGGGATATGTCAGATATCCAGGTGAATAAACCGGATAACTGAGCTGGGAATGAGGCAAGATTTAAATACTGAAAGGACAATGAGGCAAATACTTATTAATTAATTAGAGGAATGGGGCACCGACAATCGCACATACCATGCACAGATAACTCCATTGACAGTTTCCACCCACGTGGAGATGTGGCTAGCTACCATAGGAGCATGAGAATGTAAGTTGGAATTTGCATGGGTATCACAGGAGGTTTAAAAAAAACTCAGGTATAAAGTTATATTCAGGAGAGGGGAATAAAAACATTTTTTAAATTCTTAATATTAATTTGTGCGTGGTCCAAATGCAAAGTGTTAGACTTTACATAACCCTTGCATTACTCTGTCAAGGCCATCCCTACTATCAAGTGTGGCTGAAGCAGAATTATGTTATGGTTCAGCTTCTCATCAGCAGGGACTAGGAAGCTTGGTAAGAATGATGGGGAAATATATGAAGCAAAGTACTGGAAGATCTTAGAGTGTTGCAAGTTGCAAGTGTTGCAGCCAAAAATTGCACCGCATTTGTGTGCAAAGTTGATTGGGACTTTCACAAAAAGGCAGCTGTAATTGCTAGCAGACATGCTTCCAACAAATATGTTGAATTCACGAGTATGAGTAGTTATGCAACAAATATATTTCAGTTTTTCTCTTTGATTTGTGGTGACATTAACCTTAACTTATTAGAAGCCTTAGAAGTTTAAAGTTTGAGAATTCGGATGCAATAAAAAAATAACTTTAAAAATGTGTACACATCACTTTGTAATTTCAGAAAATGGGGCACCATAGGAAGGGTCTGAATACTTTTACAAGGCACTGTACATTGTCATGTTTATACTTTGAAAATGTTGTCAACAATTGAATGCATTTGACAGCATTTGAAATATGTTATGATTGTTATTCTCTGCATAAACATACTGTAGAAAACAAGATTTTAATGTGAAAACTCTGTCCCCTGACCAACATAGGACTTCAGAATATCTGTTAATATCCATCCTTTTTCATTATGCTCTTAGTCAAATACAGGATTGGGTTAAGTTGGAGCCTAACCTGGCAGATAGTAAACACAAGGCAGAACACTCAGTCCACAGGGCACGAGTGTTTTACCATCAGCTTAAGAATGAAATAGTGTGCAAACAACTGGGATTTTTACTTCACTCTCAGTCAGCTGCAAACACGGACACTCTATATATTCTGTTACAATCTGAACAAATAGTTCTTACATTTCAGAATATTTTGTGGAACCTCTGACATGTGGGGGGCTCAGGTCTTTCTTTCATTTGATATGCATTACTTTTTCAGCTTTTTCAGTGGGTATCAGATTACAGCTAAAAAGTGCTTTGAAAAATTGAGTTTGGGGCAACTGAACTAAAAAAATTGACTTTCTGTGTTTCGATATTAATTACCAATTTTATTTTTGCCTCACTGGAGCAGAGGTTTAACTTTCAAAATCGTTCTGATTTCAAGTAAATAAACACCTCTGGACATTTACAGTAAGCTGCTGTACATATACACGCAGTGTACACAGAAGTAATAAAAACAGTTCTATGACTGATATCATTTTATGACACCACAAAGTTTCATATGGAAATTATATTGTTTGGTTCTGTTGATTGGTTCAATCACCACAAAAAAAGAATCACATTCTTTATTGATATTGCTATAAAATAACATAATTACATGCAGGGATCAATGATTTCATATGATAGGTCTGATACCTTTGTGTCCTGGCTTACATTTTGCTGATCTTATAGTCATATTTTTTATTACATTTTGATTTAATGGCACTGTAATTAAGACCAATTGAATTGATTGAATTATTTATTACTTTTCTTGGCAACAATATATATACTGTATATTGTATATGTCAATGGTTGCACTTGTAGATTTTTCTTGTTACTTATTTTCTTGTACTGTTTTCTTTTCAGTGACACGTTCTCCAGGTTAAATTGTCAGATTATTACTTTGAGAGTACTGTACAACAAGTGTTCAGATTTGGGAAAACATTTTTATTGTGACCTTAGAAAACATTTTGTGATAATGTACAAAAAAATCTTAATAAGGAATAGTGTCTAATGCTTCCCATATTCATCTGTTGAGGGATGACCACCTTTTGAAGGACAAGGAGAAAGAAAAGTTTCTCAAATAAACTAACTGAATTGATTTGAATTATTTTAAATTTGCTTTAGCAAATACTTTGAACTAGAACATGGCCAGAAATTACTTTGCCCCGAATGACCCCTTTTCAAAATTAAAAGCAATTGCATTTAAAATCAATTTGGCATCTTTCTCCAGTGTAATATTCAAGCACAAAAGAAGGCTGCTTATCTATTCATTTCCATTTTATTAAAAAAGTATAGTAACATTGGAATTCGAAATCTGCAATTAGGAACAGTCACACTTAACCAAAATAGTTTACTAGCTATTTTAAATCATCCTTCCAAGTCACTGAAAATCACTTTACATAATTCTTTCATTATTGGTGCAATAATGTATTAGTGTCAGTACTCTTTTTAGTGCTCTTCATGCCTAACATTCTCAAGAGTGCTGCACAGATGGAAAACAAAAACACACACAACAGATAAAATCAACTTGAATAAAAACATGATCAGATAAAATATGCCTGACTTAAAACAATTCATATTTTTTAAACCTTCCCTGCATCAGGTAAATAGAATTCCACTGTCTGGAGGCATAACAGCAAGAAGCTCTGTTTCCAACAGATGTCAGACATTATCTTTGAACAACCAGAGTCAGCATTTGCTGATCTTAGGGGGAGTGTTGGATCATACAAATTAAGCAGCTCTTGAAGACACTGAAAACATTTAATCAGTTTTTCTGGTGTTTCCAGACATTTCCCACCTACACACATTTGAAACAGGTGTTTCTGATCGCTGTCTTTCTGAACCCGTTAGTTACTCTGCCTCCTATTAACAGTAAATGGAATTTGACTTTCTGTAGACAGATTTAGGTGAATCTAATTCAACCGTTTGGTGGAGGAGATCACAAAAAAAACTTTATGTAAAGCAGCTCTATCTGATCGCATTGGAATTCTGTTATTCTTCACAAACACTGTAATTATATTGCTATTCTAGCTTCTATGAAAAAATAATTTCCTTTTATTTAATTTTTGTTCTACTTGTACTTCTTATAAATGCATATAATGATGCCTGCAAGAAGGGAAGATCTTCTTCCTGTTTTAGTGCTATACTGAGAGGCTACAGTATTTCTACTGTTTTTTACTGTGCAATCAATAGAATGACCAAACCAGCTAACAGCACTCTAATAAACAATATAACACACATGCAGTTTTATTAGGACAACTTTGCAGATTTGCTTCTGAGGACACCCTGTGACAGCATAGTGATGAAAGTTCCCCAAGTACAAAACTCTGGATGGCCAAAGACAACCTTGCAGATTTCTTCACAATGAACAATGAAACAGGTACAGTACCTTTCTATATGACTTTGCAATGTACATACTTAGCATACAGTATATAGTATTTTGCTTTTTTCCACTTTGTGTTCTCTTGATGACAATGCTCTTGCTTAAAAAGCTCACAATAAACGTTTTTATCATCAAATAAGGACATTACTTGGGGAAACTTTAATAATTAATTTGGTGTTCAATAGCTAATTGATCTGAAGATCTCATCCAGCTACCCTCTATCTATCCTGTTAATTCAGATGCCTCTCTTTTTGTAAATATACTATTCTCAATAACATATTGTTGTTTATTTCAACCCAATTCATTGAAAACATTTACATTGCGGATTGTTTCTCTGTAATCCCCGCTTCAGAAACCTTTATCTATTTTTTATGTGACTAACTAGGAACTTGCTGAATAGTTGTGCTGTAAATTAGTTTTTCTGGTATCTATATCAATGAACAGACAGTATTAAATCTGCAATACAAAAAAAAAAACATGATTGGAAGTGTGAATACATTTAAAAAAATCCCTAAAAGTAAAATTTACATATAGTGTAATAACATGAAAATCTCTTTAATTCATTCTCTTAATATATTGCATACTTTAATGTATATTATTTCCTATATTACATATACTGTATCAGGTCAATATTGCAATGTTCCTCCAAGTAAACTTATCTTTAAGTGTTTCAACATACTATCAAAATGTGTTAATTATTCCAGTTCTATACAATAATTTCAGAATATATACACATATATATATATAAAATGTAGTAGTTCAGGTGGGTAGCTGCATCAGCATGCATAGGCTAATAATAGGTTAATTCCATGCTGAAAAAAGAAAAGAGAAAACACGTTTCGGCCGTGGAGCCTTCTTCAGGTATAAAATGCTGTGTATATACACTATACTGGGGAATTTAAGTGAGAGGGGCTGGATTATTTTTTGTGTATTGGCCTTCTCAACAAATGAGAATGTTTTATCTACAAGACTGTAACAACGTTTGTCCTCACGAAAATAAATGCATTTAAAACACATAAAATAAGCAAACTAAACGTTTATATCTGTCAATATTTGTATTTAAATATCTGTTAATAAATCTAGTATTGTACTTTGATTTTCTTACAGTGTAATTTCACAGCGCCTGATATTACTGTAACAGTATACCACCGCCGCCGTAGCCTGAGCATGCGCACTAGCTGTTAACACAATCAAATACGCTTGCGCCTATTTACTTTGACCTTTAACCTGGCAGTTTAAACCGCAAGCGCGAGGGAATTGTTGTGGATGTAAGTATATTATTTTCTTTTATTGGTTCAAAAAAAAAGTTTGTATAGCGTTGACCTGTTTACAGTAACAATGTTCGAGTAACAAAAACGTGATCAGTAAGCGATCTAAACAGTTTCGAGATCCTTACATATATTTATTAGTAGCTAGTTTCCTTGTGTTTCTATAAAGCTTGATTTTACAGTGGCCAATAACCTGTTTTTGTTAGTATTATAATTGAACTTTGAAGGTGACAGATCGAGTTTTAATATTATTAATTACCATCTATTTTGAACTCATTAGTGAAAAGCGTAGCAAACCAGAAACTTAGATGCCATGCATATTTTACAGAAACTTAGACGCACTTGACATAATAACGAAATAGTTTAGTATACAGTAGCTGAACTAGGCGATATTGGGTCACGTTCTGATGTTTTCAAAGAAACCAGATGCAGGAGGAATATTCAATGTTTTAATTTAATTTAATAAATACGGATTTTTATGTTTTATTACCTCGTGGATGCACTGACAATATGCCGCTCGTTTCTGTGGTACAAATTGCAAACTTATTCACTATTGGTGATCACAGTAAAAGCTTTTTTGAAAATTGAAGTTTTCTTGAAAGCTTTGCAATCCTCCATCCTCCAGTAAACCATTTTAGCTGCAGTTCTGAGTTTATTGAAACGGAGAGGATTAGCAGTTTAGTGGATCACATATTCGTAAAGGTAATTGTATTTTTTTGCTCTTAGCTTCGAAGGCTTATTATTGGACGTTATGTCGCATTTCTTTCGATAATGCTCTGCTCACCTCCTGTTCTGTAGTGAAACTCTTAGGATTTCGATTTCTTGCAACACTTTTATATTTTGTGAAATGAAGATGCGTTTCACTTTTTAGTCAGAAAATAGGTATGTGTTGAGTTGGGTTCAATGACATAACTGGAGACATACGTCATAGTAATTTGAGACCTGTTAACTTCCACTCTGTAAGAAAATTGCTGTCAAGAAACCCGACGAAGTGTTATTAGGTCTAAATGTCAAAGTGAATGACGTTTAATAAAGGATCGAAATGATAGACTTTTTTGTGGTATGGCAAGTTAGTGTCAAGTGTTTATTTTCCCCTTTAATTAACTCTGTTAAATATGTATGCATTTTGCGACTTTAACAAGTAACAACTTAATTTGAAAGCCACTATTCTCCTTTGTTTTCAGAAAGATTATGAAATAATAATAATTATAATTAGTAATTGCTTACACTTATATAGCGCTTTTCTGGACACTCCACTCAAAGCGCTTTACAGGTAATGGAGACTCCCCTCCACCACCACCAATGTGCACCACCTGGATGATGCGACGGCAGCCATAGTGCGCCAGAACGCTCGCCACACATCAGATATCAGTAGGGAGGAGAGCAGATTAATGAACCTAATTCATAGATAGGGATTCTTAGGAGGCCATGATTGGTAAGGGCCAATGGGAAATTTGGCCAGGAAGCCGGGGTTACACCCTTACTCTTTTCGAGAAACGCCCTGGGATTTTTAATGACCACAGAGAGTCAGGACCTCGGTTTTATGTCTCATCTGAAGGATGGTGCCTGTTTACAGTATAGTTTCCTCGTCACTATACTGGGGCATTAGGACCCACATGGACTGCAAGGTGAGCGCCCCCTTGCTGGCCCGACTAACACCACTTCCAGCAGCAACCTTAGTTTTTCACAGGAGGTCTCCTATCCAGGTACTGACCAGGCTCATACCTGTTTAGCTTCAGTGGATTGCCACTGCCAGTTGTGAGTTACAGAGTGATATGGCTGCTGGCATAAAATCTTGCTGATGTGTTGCTTAATCACAGGAGAGTCGTGATTCTGTCTATAGAGGTACTGATTACTGTTTACTTATGAAAATATTGATCAAGACCTCTACTGTTGGTGTTACTACGCCATTACACAAACTGAAAAGTGGATTGGGATAACAGACTTCCAGTGTCTCTTATTTCATAGAAAGAAGCGAAAAAGAGGCAGTTGAGGTTTATGCTGCTATTGGCAATTTGACGAATGATTAAAAATACAATAAAGCCTACATTAATATATGTAAAATGACCTTGGATAGCTTGACTACTTATAATCACTGCTAAATGATAATGGAGGAAATTGGAAAGAAAAGTTAGAGAAGACAGAAGACAATGCAATACTTTTAAACTAATTAAATACTTTTAAGCAAATAAGTTTATTTTGAATTTCATCAGTGAATTTTGATACTGAATCAATGTTTAGTTGTATATATGGGGAGATTCATCAGAATCATTTATACCCTGCAATTTACAATTAACACACTTTAATTGTACTGTATGTACTAAGGACTTCAGGGGTCTCTGTATCAATATGTAGGCCAAGATAATTGTGGCCAGCTGAAACCTGCCCAACAGGTTCCACACTACAGGACCTCACCTGTATGAAATGTGGGTACTTTCAGTGGATGAGACAGTTGGAGAGTTGTTTCTGTCTACTAAGTTTAAGAATTTGTGTAAGTTAGGAAAACTACATGGAATCCAGTTTTGATAGTTTTAATTATTATTATGATGATGAATGCAAATGTTAATACTTTCAAAAGTATACACTAAATATGTCCCTATAAAATAGGTTTTAGCTGCCTCCTTGGTACATACTGTATAGTTATTTTTGAAATATTTTCAGTAATTTTCTGTTGTTACAGTAAGCTAATGATCTTTATTTTGAAGTGTGTAATGAATATTTGCACATTTAGCTCAATTAATTTAGCATAAATTGCTACTGTTGCAAGATGCTTCTCAGTAAATTAACTTCTTTTATACCGTTGGGCTTTGAAAACAAAAAGCGTGTGTTTTGACCCATACTGTTCTGTCATCACAAAAAGACTGCTGCTGCTACTAATTGGTCAGATTAACTGTACAGTCTAACATATATGTTTTTTCAATCCTGATCTTAACTAGACAAGTCAATTAAGATCAAATTGTCATTTAAAGTGACAGCCTAGAGAATATCTATTTTTACAGCATGACCTTTACGAGGGCAGTTTGAATGAAGTATGTTGCTCAAGGGTACAGCAGTAGGATGCCACCTAGGATTTGGTCCACAATACTCTAGTTCAGAGCTCTAACCACTGCTCCCCAAAAATGCTGTGGATCTTCTATAGTATGGGTGTCTATGTTTGGTCTGGAGGACTCAGTAATCTGTAGAGTTTCAAGGTGTGTTTAAAGAGGAGACATCTGAAGAGCTGGTAGAAGTTTGTAATTTTTCCAATTAGAAGGCAGGAACCTGCTGGTTGAGCTTGTTGGGAATGGGAATGAATGAGAATGAAAAGCTGCACACACACCAGTTTCTAGGAATAGGATTGGAAATTCCTGGTTAGTAGCTACTATAATTAATTTAAAAATGACATTTTTCAGCTTCAAAAGCTAGAGTAAAGAACGATAACATGAAACAAATGTAAGTTGCTTTCGATAACCTTGTCAGCCAGATAGATTAATAATAAAGCTGCGATTCATTGCTCTGCTGGTAATGGCATCCCACAAAAATAATCCATATGCTTTTCCTTATTTGGTCACAGCTCAAAGTTTGCTGAGGTTCAATTTCTACAAAACTGTCCTGCAGGATGGACATTTTTAAATGACTGAACAACCAATTGACAGTAATTGCTACTTGTTACATGTCTTAAGATAAACAGTGTACGTGACGTGTATGAAGCTTGTTATTATTTTGTGCCATGTTCCAAGGAATAGACATGTCAAACATGCTACCGGTCAAGTATTGAAGCCGTCTTCTGTTTACACCTCAAATGAAAAATTCTAGTCATGCTTTGTGACTTTATTTGCAGCCTTTGTCTACTGAATGTCTAGTTATGAGATCCATAAAAAGCAACAAGAGAAGGACTTTTTTTCACAGTAAATATTGATCTTTTGCAGAGTGAATATTGGTTGGCTATTTTTTATGCAACTGGTTTAGCAGCGATACTCTGCATCTTTCTTCTTAACTGTTTTCTCTGATAGGTTTTCTTTTAACTGGTTGTGCTTGGATTTAGACCATGAAAACATAAAAAATAATTCATAAGTTGAAGTAGGAAATTCTAATCCTAATGCTTGCCCTTCTTGCGATGTGAATGCTAAATGATTCAAAAGTATAGAAATACTTATAATACTACTACTGCTAAAAAGGTTACTACTATTTAACAATGCTTATTATGAAGTTGTAGCAAAAATTGTTATGCTGTAGTTGAATTCAGAGGCTGTGGGCTTCGAACTACTCTGGAATTACCATACAGCCTCCATTTGTACCTGTGGTGAAAGATCATTAAAAATTGATCTGGATGCAACAACCTGCAGTGGAAAAGACAAACGGCTTTTAAAACTAGAGAATTTTATTATTTGCTACTTTAAGTCTGTATTTAATGTCTGTATCATGTGATTGTGTACTGTATGTATCACGTTTTGTTAAATGTTTTTGCTGTAAGTGCTGTTAAGAATGAAGCCTAAAACAACCCACAGATTCATAAGAGTCATGGGAGCACCTGAGTTATTATTTGCCTGCAACGTAATCTGGAGACATTGGTACATTATCAGAGGTAAATTAATTTGCATTATAAAGGTACCATAATTGCATTAGTTAATTAGTTTCTACTTGGAAACTTCAAGGGCAAAAAATTAACATCTTTTGATGGTAGAAAAATATAAAATACAGCAGACTGAATGTTTTTTTTCCTCCAAGCCACTAATTTAAGGCCAGCTAACAAATAATCAGACTGCAAATTGTTGGGTATATTTCCTAATCAAAATTAGTGTAATTTGCCTCTTGTTAATATGAAATGTCATGAATTTTAATCACTTACATAAGTTTTTTTTTCTGTGTGTAATTAGAGAACCATAATTTCTTATCTTTCCCAAATCTGTGGCAAGAACTATGCTGTGGTTTGGGCTCAATACTGAAGGATTAAGAAGATGTTAAAATGCTGTTAACACATTTGTAGCTTCTAGTATTTAATGAAACTGGGAACATGATGT